TACCCCCACTTTTGGAAAGCTTTTTAAGAGGATGCTTGAATAAGCCAGTGCTTCCAGTATTAACTAAGAGCCCTCCTGAAATGACAAGACGTCTCGGTCTTGTCCTTAATGTCGCTAGGTAGCTAGGACTTCCCTGATCCACAGACCTGGGGCTGTTTAGCTGGTTCCCAACACAGCCCTAAAGACATCGGTTCAGAAAAGATGGCCCCTGCAGCTTAGGACTGATACAGGCTGGACCCCGGCAGGACATAAACACACACACACACACACACACACACACACGTCTGTGGGTACATACTTGTAATCGCAACACTAGGAGACAAGAGGATCAGAAGTTCAAGGTCACTATCAAGCACAAAGCATGTTAAGCATCAGCCTGGGCTTTAGGAAACCCTGTCCCTCCCTCCCCAGTGTGTGTTAGTTTTTCCAGACAAAAGCTGTTTCTTTAAAGTCACCTGGGGCTGGGGACTTTATTCTTGAAGTTTATATACCCCCTCGTAGCTGGGCTATTTAAATCACAGGGTCAGGCTGGGGCTGGGAGAATGTCTGTCTCTGTCCCCCTCCCTACCTCCCACACCTGTCAGCCAGTGTCAGAAGTACTGGGAGGTGAGAGGGAGGAGGAAAGGAGTAAGGATGAGCTTCGGATTTCTCCATGGCAACAGAAAGGCACTTTGGCAGGTGGGGAAACTTGGCTGTCTAGAAATAGGCTGTGTGTTTCTGTGACATTAGCATGGGTCATGAAAACACTCACAATGCTTCTCTAGGGACACTGGAGAGTTAGTGTATTACCTGTAGGGCATGCTTTAGCAAGCTCCATGTTTATAACTATTTTTCCCTCTTCCCTCCCTCTTCTCTCTCCCTCCTACTGTGAGACAGCAGCACCAGGCCAATGCCATCAAGTAATTAAAAGGCTAGCATAGAGAGGGTTTGTTTTTCTTTTTCTTTTTTTCCCGAGACAGGGTACCTCTGTATTGTTTTGGAGGCTGTCCTGGCACTCCTCTGTAGACCAGGCTGGCCTCGAACTCACAGAGATCTGCCTGCCTCTGCCTCCCGAGTCTGGGAGGTGTGTGCCATTACCGCCCCGCACATGGAGAGTTTTTCAGATATTCTGTGGTACAGAAACAGTGGGAAAGGCAGCAGAGAGAAACTAGGCACCGAAGCATTCTCAGTGGCTGCTTTCACACCTGAGGAATCCCCATACAAACAGCCAGGTGGTGCTTCAGTGCCACGGTACCCTGGGACACTTACAGCTGGGCTTGTTGTGATTAACTCTCCAATAGTGGCCTTGCTCTGAGCCCAGTCCGCCCTGAGCCAATGGCAGTCTTGTTCTGAGACTGTAAGTTAGCACAGCCATCTGCCCCAGGATGTCATGTTCTTTTCATATCTTCTCTGTCTCTTTCTGTCTCTGTCTGTCTTATGTCTGTCTCTCTCTGTGTCTCTTTCTTTCCCTGTCCCCCCTTCCCCCCCATGTGTGTGTGTCTACACATGTGTGTTGGAGATGACTTGGATGACTGGATAGAATGTGAGCTGAGGGTAGACATTACAGGCCTGTGTAGGTAAGAAAAGCCTCCAGAAGGAACCCAAACCTAGGGGGCTTTTATTTTTAGCTCAGTAAGACCATGCAGGGGTTCTGATCTTTGAGAATTCAGACACCTGCAAGTGACAGCAGATTGAAGTACCAATCTTCATATTCCTAGCCGAGGAGACTGACTCAACTTCAGCTCCAATGGTTAACATGTGACCTTTACAGGTCATTTGAGTAGTGCTGTGTGGCTTCAAATTCTGGTACTTCTGGGGTGATAGCTCCATCCATTTTCTTGAAAGGTCCTAAGCCCAGAGCTGCAGTGCAGGAGGGCTGCAGTGTGGCTGACGGAGAGAACAGGGGTGCCAATGTTGAGAAATCACATCTATACTGCAAGAAGAAGCTTCTCTGCTCAGGGCTGAGTGATGCATTGGTCCATGCATGCAGAAGAACTTCACGGGGAGTCATTTTGCTGCTGTCTTCCTTTAGTAGGCTTTCAACTAGGGCCCACGACCTTTTTAGCTTCAGGGGCTTTGGCCGCTTTAATAGTGTTAGATATGGGTTTCATGGAGCGGGCCTTAAGTCCAAGCAAACATCTGCGTCACTGTTGTACCTGTATGCTTGTAGGCGGGTTACGGTTATAGGTCTCCAGATTTGTAGCTGGGTGATTTCAATGATAACTTTTCTCATCTGGTAGTGTGCAAAATGCCTTCTAGCATCATGAACTCTAGTCAGTAGAGGTGAAACTTCTAGCTGAGTATCAACTTGTTTCTCTGTTCTAAATAAGCACCGTCTTCAGCAATACGGCCTTACTATTAGGTTGTAGAGAGTAGCCAACAGCATTGGCTTATGGCGTTTGGGGGGTGGTCTATGGGACCACTTTGGCCAACAACTCAGTTAGATGTAACCCATTCCTGGCACTGCAATTTTGACTTGGTGGCATACGATGTTGAGTTGGAGTATGTATCACCCATTTAGCATCCTTTCATGTGTATACATTTTAGGAAGCCTCTAAGAAGTTTCCTTAACGGTTTTTCAAAGGCCTTTGCTGTTAGCTGTCCCTCCCCACTTTCCTTCTCCCCCATCCCCACCAGCAATGAATAGATGTTCTCTTTTCCCCACATCCTTGCCAGCATGAGCTGCCAATTGTTTATTGATCTTGGCCCTTCTGCCTGGGGTAAGATGAAATCTCAAAGTAGGAGATTTCTCCAGTTTTTTAAAATGTAGGTGCTATGAACTTGACTATTAGAATTGCCTTCATTGTGTCCTATAAGTTTGGGTATGCTGTGTTTTCATTTTTATTCAATTTGAGGAAGTCTTTAATTTCTTAATTTCCATCTTGACCCATTTTTTGTTCGGTAATAAGTGGTTCAGTTTCCATGAGTTACGCTTTCTGGTTTTTTTTGGGGGGGTTGTTGTTGTTAAAAATCCAGCTTTAGTGTGTGGTGGTCACATAGCATACAGAGTGTCATTTTAGCTTTCCTGAATCTGCTGAGACTTGTTTTGTGTCCCAGTGTGTGGTCAATTTTGGAGAAAGCTCAGTGAGGTGCTGAGAAGAAGGTGTATTTTTTTTTTTTAACGAGATAGGGTTTCTCTGTATTGTTTTGGAGGCTGTTGGTCCAGCCCGGCCTTGAACTCACAGAGATCCGCCTGCCTCTGCCTCCTGAGTGCTGGGATTAAAGGTGTGCACCACCACCGCCTGGCTGAAGGTGTATTCTTTTATGCTTGGGTAAAATGTTCTGTAAATATGTTAGATCCATTTGGTTTACAATGTCAGTTAGCTCCAGCATTTCTGTTTAGTTTTTGTCTGGATGACCTGTCTATTGGCCAGAGTGGGATATTGATGTCTCCCACTATCAATGTGTAAGGTTCACTGTGTGATTCCAGCTATTGTGGTGTTTCTTTAACTAACTTGGGTGCCCTTGTGTTTGGTACATAGATGTTAAGAATAGCAATGTCAAGCTGGGCGTTGGTGGCGCACGCCTTTAATCCCAGAACTTGGGAGGCAGAGGCAGGCAGATCTCAGTGAGTTTGAGACCAACCTGGTCTACAAGAGCTGGTTCCAGGATAGCCTCCAAAGCCACAGAGAAACCTTGCCTCGAAAAAACAAAAACAAACAAACAAAAAAGAATAGCAATGTCCTCTGGTGGAGTTTTTTCTTTGATGTGTAACGTAGTGCTTCCCAATCTCTTCTGACTGACATGGGTCTGCACCAGGACTTTTGCATCTGTAATACGGCTTCCAGTTTAGTGGTTTTAAGGGATTCCTGAGTGTCAAATGAGTGGGTCTCTGTTTCTTGTGCCTTCTCTTGGGCTCTTTCCTTCTGTTGGCTTTGGACAATTCCAATGTTAGTTTTTGTTTTATCTTACAATATTTTACTTTATCATTATCCCTTAGAGGCCTGTTTGTTTTCTGATGAGAGACAGAAGGGGAATTGTTGTGGAATATTTTAAGGTGTACATTTCTTTGTGCTGTGGAACATTTGTTTAGTGATGTAAAGATGTGTCCCTTTTGTTTATGGTGCAAGTGTTTAACTCTGTGAAGCTGTGATTCTTTGCCTGTCTGAAACACATGATGGTCTAATAAAGAGCTGAACAGTGAGGCAGGAGCAAGGATAGATGGGGCTGGCAGGCAGAGAGAATAAATAGGAGGAGAAATCCGGGAAGAGGCGGAAGGAGCAGGAGAGAATAAGGAGAGAATGCTAGGGGCTAGCCACACAGCCAGCCATTGAGTGAGAGTGAAAGTAAGATTACAGAGGAAAAGAAAGAAGACCAGAGGTGGTGCGGGCCGGGGAGGGGGAGGGGACATAATTTAAGAAAAGCTGGCTAGCCACAAGCTAAAATAAGGTCAGGCATTTATAAGTAATAAAAGGCTCTGTGTGTGATCTATTTGGGAGCTGGGTGGTGGGTCCCCAAAAGAGCCTAAGAAAGGAAAGAACAAAGAGTAAAAAAGTAGTAAGAGTAAAAAATGGGGGATAGATCCAAATGGGAGGGGAGTAGGAACTGGAGAAGTAGAGGGAGGGGTGACTATAATCAGGATATATCATATAAGGGGGAAAAATCTTTTTTCTTATTTTTTGAGACAAAATTTCTTTGTTTGGCTTGGCTGTCCTGGAATTACCTCTATAGACTAAAAAACAAAATAAAACAAAACCATCACATTAAAAACATCTTTTTGAAATAATTTATTGTGTATACTGTGTTCTGCCTGCATGTGTGCCTGCACACCAGAAGAAGGCATCAGATCTCATTAGAGATGGTTGTGAGCCACCATGTGGTTGCTGGAATTGAACTCAGGACCCCTGGAAGAACAGCCAGTGCTCTTAACCTCTGAGCCATGTCTACCCCCCCACCTATCCCAAACCATTTCCAATAAAAGGAAGAAAAAAATAAATTTCAAAGTAGTTTCCTTTGCATTTCTCTGATGGTAGGTTTTTCTCAGGCATTTGTGTTTCCTCTTTTGAGAACTCTCTATTTAGTTCTATCAGGGAGACAGCTTCATCCGGACACAGTAGGAGTGGTGCACATATGAACCCAGAGACTGTGACAGCACACAGGAGACCCGCATAGGTTCAAGCCGCTCAAAAGCCCAGGACTGAGGAGGGTAAGTGGACACAAAGTCTCGCCCTTAACCAAGAGGCTAATTTTCAATAGATACCCTGCTAGGAAAGGGAGAATCAGTTTTCTCCAATGGAGGGTCACTGGGTGTGTCACCACACTCCAGGGCAGGCCCAGTGCCCAAGGGTAGTTAACACCAAACAGACTCCATATTTTTATGTGCTTTTTGTTATTTTTTTTTGTCTTATTGTTTCTTGCTTGTTTGTTTTGACCTTTGTTTTATGTTTCTTTTTGAGAGAGAGAATGAGAACATGAAGTTGGGTAGGTGGGCAGGATCTGGGGGAGGCGAAATATCAAAACGTGTCCTATGTAAAATTTAATAAGAAAATTTAAAATGAAATCACCTATATGTTGACTAAGGAATTGTTAAACAGAAATGCATGTTAAACAAGGTTTTGTATTGATGGGTTGATAAAAATGTGATTAGAGGCATATAGGAATCTAACCATGTATCTCTCCTGGGTGGAAGCGTCATAATAAAAAGTATCCTGAACTTGTAGATATAACTGGATATACTTTGTTTGTCTTTAAAAAATAATTTTATGTTTGGGAATTTCATACACTGTATTTTGATCATAGTCACCTGCTCCAACTCCTCCCAGATCCACTCTCTCAATCCTTACCTACTACCCACCCAACTTCAAATTTTCTGTTCTATTTTTTAAAAATTATTTTTGTGTCAAAGCCTAGGATAGAACTAAAATTTTGTATATAATACAAGCTAGCACACTGTTGGCACATAGAGCATACTTAATAATAGTGTTTCCTGATTAATGATGGAGTAGAAAGGCCAGCATGGTGCTACAGGCCTGTAACTCTTACTTAGGAGGCCGAATGGAGGATGCTAAGTGAGACTTTTGGGCAACTTAGTGAGACTTGAGAGTTAAGGGCCACTGAGATGGCTTATTGGTAAATGCCCTTGTCACCAAGCCTGATGACCTATGCTTGACTTGGGGAACCACATGACTGATCCCCTGGACCCACACGTGTGAGAGGAGAGAATGGATTCTCACTAGTAGGTTGACCTCTACATTCCTTCTGTGGCAGTGGTGCATGTGCTCACGTGTGTGTGTGTGTGTGTGTGTGTGTGTGTGTACACGCATGCGTACTTACCCACACACACTAGATCTAATAATATATTTTTTTACAAAAAGACCAGAGTGGGGCTGGAGAGACAGCTGAGAGGTTAAGAGTACTGGCTGCTCTTCCATAGGCCCTGAGTTCCATTCCCAGCAACCATAGGGTGGCTCACAACCATCTGTAATGAGATCTGATGCTCTTTTCTGGTGTGCAGACATACATGCCGGCAAAACACTGTACACATAATAAATAAATCCTTAAAAAAAAAAAAGGACCAGAGGTAGAGCTCAGTGTTTGTCTGAGGCCCTAGGTTTGATCCACGACACTTAAGAAAAAAAGAGGGAAATAAAGAAACAACTTATGACAAAGTTAGGTAGCTAGCGTGCTGTGATTTACATGGTCTGGAATGACTTTTATATGGCCCAATGTCAACAACCTTCCAGTTCTGCTTCATCTGACACCGAGTAGAATGCTTCCAGGTATGTGTTGTTTCCCCGGCAACTGTGTAGCTCCTGACAACAATGTGTGAATACAATTAGACTCTGTGTTTAAAAAGTCAGGTACTCAGCTTTGTTAATTTGGATGGAAAGAGGGTTTCTCCCCATCAAGCTCAGTAATCCTAAAAAAATGTATTGGAATTGTTTTCATACGATACATTTTTTTAAACCAAGATTTAATGTGCATTTTTTCTTAACACATGGAACATAAGTATGAAAATTTCATACTGAATAAATGATATTCGTTAAGCCAAAAAAGAAAAAAAGGAGGAATTTACATCAAATTTTTAGCAACATTGTTGAAATACAAATATGCAGATTTTATCACTGAAAAAAAATCTCAATTGTGTTTCTTCATCAGGAACTTCAGCTGAACCTAGAACTTTTTCACACCTGGATTAGAAAGAAAACAAAACAAAACGAAAACCCAGAAAAAAAAAACTGTAAGTTGATTGCCTGCTGAGACAGCAAGGACTTTTTACAGAGACCTGTACAGCATTGCACCAAGAAGAGCGATGTCTGGCAAGAGATTGAATAGCTGTGTCTCTCTTTGTGCAGGTCACCTGTTAACTCGTCGTACTATGAAGGGGTAGCTGGGAAGGGGACCCACTGTGGAGATTCAAGGGTATGTGCAATGTCATTCGATGCATTTTAATCATACTCTTTCCCCATTCCCAACTCCAGCTCCTCTAGGATTCTCCCAACTTCTACTCACCCAACTTTAAGTTCTCTCCTCTCTCAAAAGCAAAAGAAAACAGGAAAAACAACAAAACTCCCACAAAATGAAAATCAAACCAGACAAGAAAACCAAGCCAATCCAAAACAAAAGCATCCACAAAAGGAGTCTAGTTTGTATTGGTCAACTGCTCCAGCATACGGAGCCTGCCCTGGAGTGTGGTTGATACACCCAGTGACCCTCCATTGGAGAGAACTGATTTCCCCTTCCAGCAGGTACCAGTTGCAGACAGCTTCCTGGTCAAGGGTGACATGTTGTGTTCACTCCCCCTTCTCAGTGCAGGTCCCATGTGTGATGTCCCAGTCTGTGACTTCATATATGGATCAGTCCTGCTGCGTCTGGAAGACACTCTTTCCTTGGAGGTGTTCACCACCCCCCTGGCTCTTACAACCTTTCTGTCTCCTCTCCCACACAGCTCACTGAGCCTTGAGAGGACTTTGGTGGAAACATCCCATTTAGGCCAGAGTGCTGCAAAGTCTCTCTCTGCACATTTTCCAGTTGTGGATTTCTTTGTTAGTTGCCATCTATTACAAGAAGAAGGCTCTCTGACAAAGGCTCAGTCATCTTAAAGCTTTCACTAAGGCAACATTAAAGGAACCTGCATGCACCACATGACTGGGGGAGCTGGGTGCTCAGCATACAGAAGGACCTTGGTTTGACCTCTGGGCCTACAAATGACAACAGCACAATGTATCACCTCACTCACTCTAAGCTGTCTCTAAACTGTTCTTCCTAAGTTTACATCGTTACAGCGGGTTTAGCGGTGAGTGCAGTATAGCTATTAGCAATTGAAGCTAAACAGGCAAGCCAGTTGTGGTGGTTCGATGTGTAACCCCAGCACTTGGAAACCAGATGTGGGAGAAGCAAGAGTTTAAAGCAAGCTTTGGCTGAATAGTGAGTTCAAGGTAGGTCAATCAAAAACAAAACAAAACAAAACAAAACAACAAAACCAAAACCAAAACAAGCAACCCCCCCTTTTTTTTTCTTTTTTGGTTTTTCGAGACAGGGTTTCTCTGTGGCTTTGGAGGCTGTTCTGGAACTCGTTCTGTAGACCAGAGTGATTTACAGAGATCCACCTGCCTCTGTCTCCCAAGTGAATGGTTCAGGCATTACGCTGGCCTGCCCTTTTACCTGGCAGGATGTACTCAGGCAGCACTCTGGCCAGCCCAGAGTTCTGTGAGAACCACGAAAGTGCAAAGGACCCCTTTAAAAAAGGACTGTCCCCTGCCCGCTTACACTCTCTTACTCTTTTACTCTCATCTTACTCTCCATCTCATCTCCTCATCTCCTCTCTTACTCTCATCTCTCTCTCTCTGTCTCTCTCTCTCCCTCCCTCCCTCTCTCTGTCTCTCTCTGTCTCTGTCTCTGTCTCTGTCTCAGCTCTGCATGGTTACCTCTCACCCCCTCTTTCCCTCCCTGTCTACCAATAAACTCCATGTGGGATCGTTGAGTCACAGTTTGTGTCTCGTTACTGGATAAACCTAAACATTTTAACAACACCAAGTGCTGGGATTAAAGGCATGCACCATCAATGCCCGGCTGCATGCTCTAGCCTGGGTTCCCAGCAACTAAGTGATAAAACCATCTGTAATGAGGTCTGGTGCCCTCTTCTGGCCTACAGGGATACATGCAGGAGGAGGAACTATGTATACATAATAAATAACTCTTAAAAGAAAATCAAGGTTGGGAGTGTAGGTCAGTGGTAGAGGGCTGGCCTAGCATGTGTGAGGTCTTAGATTCAGTCTCCTCACCTCACTGAAAAACAGCAGAAATCTTAACTCTTTTTTCTCGTAGTCTTGAATCATATTTCCACCTAATATGCTCATATGGGAAAGCATATCTGCAATGAAGATGTGCATACAAATGAGGTCAAGAACCCACAAAGACAAACATGTAGGTGTTTAACAATCTCCTGGATAGCCCAGAGCAAGGCTGAGGAACCACTCAACAGAGATCATTCCTTCATCAGGAACACGTCAGGGCTTCAGAGTTGTCTGCAGAGATGAAGCCCCAAGTTCTTCATTGAGATCAGCTTCAGGAGCCAGATGCCCCCCCCATTCTCCTAGACACACAGAGAAACACCCTCAAATTCCCATCAAAACAAACTGCTACCTTTTTTTTTTCTTCATGAAACATCCAAGTCTAGTCACCTGTTGAGCAGTTATGCTCTGCTTCAGACACTGCACTGTGCATTTCAGATGTGGCGGTGAAGAATTTAACAGTGCTAGGCATGCTGATATGTCTTTTGTCTTTTGTACTCCCTACACAGAGTCTCCCTATGATACAGCCAGGGCTGGCTTTGAACATGTTATCCTTTGGGTCTACCTCTGCAGTCGTGGGATTATAGGTGGATGCTGCCATGCCTTGGCTAGTAGGGTAGGTGTCAACTACAGACCCCAAAAAACAAGCCACAAAGTTAAAACCAAGCAGAGTTTAAGAATTGTACTTTTTTTTAAAAAAAGGATTTTTACAAGTATATATCATATGTTGAGCACAGTCCCTCACATTCTCTGCTTCCCTTTCCGCCGCCGCCTCCTGGAACTAGGGAGCTAGTCCTCTTGTTCCCTGAATGGTTTTACTTTAATTTCCAAGATATGCATATATTCATATGAGATTTTATGTATCTATATATAAATAAATCTAGGAACCACAAAGGAGAGAAATCACCTCTTTGTTTGTTTGTTTTTGTTTTTTGAGACAGGGTTTCTCTGTATTGTTTTGGAGGCTGTCCTGGAACTCCCTCTGTAGACCAGGCTGGTCTCAAACTTACAGAGATCCTCCTGCTTCTGCCTCCTGAGTGCTGGGATTAAAGGTGTGCGCCACCAATGCCCGGCTGAAAAATCACCTCTTACTGCATTAATTTTCTTACAGATGACACAACTCTCCTCTTTATTATGGCTGAAAAATTCTGTGTATATGTGGACCACATTTTCCTCACCCCCCCTCCGTTGTTGGATATGGATGTAGTAATTCCACGAATTACCTGTTGTGGAGAGGGTTTAAGGCAGCAATTTTGAATTAGTTGTGGCAACTGGCTGAACTGGTTTTGTCAGTCTCATCCATCCCTTCTTCAGGTCAGTCAACACTGGCCGACAGACACATTTAACAGGCTGATGGGAACTGTTTAGGGCTGTGATCATGGTTGAATCTCTTTGCCTCAAGGCCAGGCTCTTGATGACCATAATAAGCCCCGATTGAAATGATTTGAAGGCACTGTGGCGTTAAAACACCGCCTGACTGTCCATTTAGAAACACTTTCCAAAGTACAGCCCTATAGAACGCAGCTTCTCTGTTCTGCTTGCTGTTGCCTGGTGGCTACTAAATCACCTTTCTCTGCCCTTTTCTGATCAGGTGAATTCTTTCACTGCCTCCATCTCTGGTCCCTAGTGCCTTCCTGAACTTCAGTTTTGCTATTTTGTAAGACTTGTGGGCCCATGAAGGATCCCATCAGGGTTCCAGAAAGCCACTGAGGCCAGGTGAAGCGTGGCAGGTTGGAGGCCCTGCATGGAGCTCCTAAGTGGGTGGTCTAAGTGGGTGGTGTGTAAATTCGTGAAAGCGAAACCTAGTTGAAATGGAGACTTCGTTCAGGATCCAGGGAAAGGAAACAGTACGACTTCTAGCTGTGGCTGGAGACACAGCATTCCGATCCGCAAAGGTGAGAATGTTACTTTCTATTGTCTCCTCCCTTAAGAGTGAGTCTAGACGGGCCTGTCAATCACCGGGCCAGGAGCCCATCCTCCAGGAAAGCCATTGCCTGACGACCTGCTAGGCAGATGGGAGGAACAGATAAGTATGGCTGGAGCTCCTCCTCCGAGGCGGTGGCTGCAGATCTTCACTGATGAGCTTGCCTGGTGTTAAGAGTTCGAACTGGAACGTGCCATTTTCCTCTTTCTTCCCTTCTACTTCTTTTCTCAGATACGGGCAAAAACGCGTCCCCTCTTACTCTGCTGCTGGAGCGCTTCTCTGGAGACCCCACCCGGTCTCTGCCTTTCCCGCAGCAGTTTTCCAGCTTCCAGGCCTCCTGTAAGGGACCTGGCTTCCTTCTTCTTGGTCTCCCTCCTCTTGGCAGTTTCGGTTAGTCTGCCCCATTATTTTTCTCTCAAATGAGCTGTCTCCTGTGAGAAACGTGATTTTTTTTTCCCTATCAAAAGTGGCTAAAAGTCAACATTTTGTAAATTTACCCCACCTGGGGCTGGAGAGATGGCTCAGAGGTTAAGAGCACTGGCTGCTCTTCCAGAGGTCCTGAGTTCAATTCCCAGCAACCACATGGTGGCTCACAGCCATCTGTAATGAGATCTGGTGCCCTCTTCTGGCCTGCAGACAGAACAAATCTTAAAAAAAAAAGTTAAAAAATGTTACCCCACCTTGTAAAATGTTTGTTTATACAGTCCCCCACCGAATTTCCCGAACTTAATGGCCTGAAGCAGTCACTCCTTCCCCCCCCTTCCTTCATTCCCTTTGCCGATTCTTTTAAAATTAGCTAGTTCAGACCTCAGCCAATGGGGAAAGACAGTTGCCAGCTGTGTTCCATAAGCGCAATTGGATTTCCTGCTCCAGTGTGTGGGCTAGCTGGTTTTGGGTTCCAGTGCTCCTCCTCCTCTAAGAAATTGTCTTTCTGAGCTACTCTTTCTGCTGTTTGTGTGACACCAAGCTTATTTTTGTTTCCAGCCCTTTCAGATGGGTTTTGTTTCTTTTAGCAAGGAGACTAAGAACCTTCATGCATGGCGTCTGACCCAGCATTTTTTTGCTGCGGGTGTGTTGGAAAGACAGTACAATAGACATTCACTCTCTGACACCATTGCTTCTTGCCTTTGGTTCTTGCGGTGTTAAACCTGGTACTTCCAACGATCCAGTTTTTGTTCTATGTTGGATATATGTGTTTCGGGTATGGGTGCCCTGTGGGAGTCAGAGAGCAACTTGTGAGTTTGATCTCAGTGTGGGTCCTGGGAACAACCCTGGTATTGAGGCTTGGTGCCAAGTGCTGTCACCTGCTGAAGGAGTCACTGTCTACTCCTTTCCTTCCTACTGTTGCCAGCAAGTGAGAGGCCTACCTTAAAATGGTTCCTAAAGTAAATTGTTTGAATAACTTGCCCGAAGTCTCCCTGTGGAGAACACTGAAGTTGCCATGACTATGGGTCTTTAGTTCAAGGGGAGAGAAAATAACAAGGGTTGTCAGCACAACTGGGTGGGTAGGCGTCTCTCTTTAAGGAAGAGCTATCTTCAGAAACCTTGACTCTGTGTGACCTGGGTGGACAGCAGAGGAATTGAAAACCCTTAAGTAAAAATAAAAACGTATTGGTTTTACAATAAGTAATTTTTTCTTGAGTTTTATACATTGAACTACATAAAAAAAAAACTTAAAAAACAAGACAGCCAACCAAAGACAAACAAACCAAACCTACAACAGGAAACTCAGGTTTCCCTAGTACAATGTATTATATCCAGAGCCAAATTGCCTTGGGTCCCCTTTAGTCTCCAGACTAAGCATCCATTGCTCACATCCATGGCCTAACATCTTTCAGAGATCCATTTAAAACCCTAGGAATATGGCTGGAGTATGGTTCAGCAGTTGTGAGAACCCAGGTTTCATTACCAGCATCCACACTGCATCTCACAACTGTCTGTAACTCCAGATCCAGGGGCTCTGATATCTCCTTCTGGCCCCTTCAGACACCAGGACCTACATTGCAAACAAAATACCTATACACATAAAATAAAAACAAACGAAGCCCAGACCATTGGAGTGCATTAACAGACCACTAGCTTCTACCATCTCAAACCTCAGAATGTCACCTGGCAATGTTTGAAACCTGGTCTACAAAGTGAGTTCCAGGACAGCCTCCAAAGCTACAGAGAAACCCTGTCTCAAAAAACCAAAAAAAAAAAAAAAAAATCACTGTGTTACTTCAGTCTGCCCATCTGATCTTCCCTCCAAAGGAATTTAAATGTCTAGATTTATGGCTTTTGCTCCGTGACTATAAACACTTATGTAACTATTTCTACTCTAGAATGTTATTTAGGACAAAGCCGAACCTGCATTCCCAGACCACTGTCGTCACTGGTATTTGACTCAGAATAAGTGATCTTTGATGCTCTGTAGGTGAGAACCGTATTGTATTTTTGTTCATTTCCTTCCTTCCTTCCTTCCCTCCTCTCTCTTTCTCATAGTCTTGTTAGCTTCAAAGCTACAATCCCATCTCTTCCTCCTGAGCTCTGGGATCACAGGGGGACGCCACTGTGCCTGACCTTTTATTTATTTTTGAAGGTGGTGTGAGTTATATTTCCTCTTATGTTGCTTTTGGTTTATTTTTTATTTCTTTAAAGTTTTCCCATTACTTTCTAATTGTTTTCTGAGGAGCCACTTTATTTCTGTGATTTCTTAACTCTGGTTGATGGTTTGTTTTGTTTTCTTTTAGCTTCAATCATTCTCTGCATTTCTTTAAACTCGTTTTGAAATAAGAGGTTAGGGACTGGGCTGGAGAAATGGCTCAGAGGTTAAGCGCACTGACTGCTCTACCAGAGGTCCTGAGTTCAATTCCCAGCAACCACATGGTGGCTCACAACCATCTATAATTCAATCTGGTGCCCTCTTCTGGCATGTATATGTAATAAATAAATAAATCTTTTAAAAAAATAAAATAATTAAAAAAAAGAGGTTAGGGACTTAAGTTGTAGTTCAATAATAGAAGTTAATAATTCCTTACCATGGTCCAGTGTACTGGGCATAATCCCCAGAGCCCATGTGTACATGCAAGCATACATACACATTTCTGATGGATGTGTTGGTGGGTGGGTATGTCTTTATGACATGCTTTTATTGTAGGAAAGTTTCACAATCATGTCCTGCCTCCGTCTCCCTCTCCCCTTCTCCCTCTCCCTCTCTCTCTGTCTCTGTCTCTCTCCCTCTCTAGGTCAACTTCAGTGGCTGTGCCTCAGGCACCATCCTCTTTTTAAAACGAATTTTAGTTATTCCACACCCCCCTCCTCTCATGTGCCCCCTTCCTCCCCTCCGGCGTGCAAGCTCTCAACGTGTCCCCTCCTACTTCCTTTCTTCTTTCTGCATGTGGCCCACTGAGTTTAATCAGTCACTCGCCTGAGTGTGGGTGGGACATTATTCAAGGGCACAGGCCCAGCTTATCTGTGACTATACCACAGAGAAAAATGACACCCCTCTTCCTCAGCAATGTTAACTGTCAGTAGTCTCAAGGGCTCCTCCCTCATCCAGCCCAGACTTGTGCAAGGCATATTCAGAAGCTGCAGCTGCACTATGTTCCTGAGCACAAAGGCTGCATATCAGAAAGACACTTTTTTTTTTGTTACGCTCTCCACCACCCCAGCTTCTGGGATGTTCCCTAAGCCTTGGGGGCAGTGACACAGCTGTTCCATTTGTGCCCGGACACTTAGCCATCCCTTATTCTTACCTACTGCCTGAAGAAGTAAGAACCTCCTCTGCTGGAGGCTGGGCACAACACTAAGCTCAGAAAGCAAACCTGAGCTGGTGTGATAGTTTGAGATAGGGGGTCTCACTGGCATGGAACTTGCCAGGTAAGCTAAGCTGGCTGGCCAGCAAGTCTTAGGGACCTTTCTGTCTCTGTCTCCCCAACTCTGGGCTTACAAGTGTGTGCCAAGGTGCTTAGCTTTTTGATGTGGGTTTGGAGATTTA